GAACTATTTGCAAACACTCCAACTGTACCGCCCATTTCAAAAATTATTCATTTCGAATCATTAAATTTCTTTATTCACATGGAAATCTTGCTTAACACTCCAAACATGTGTGACTATCTCGAAAAATCTGATTAATCATTTTTGAGGTTATGTTCGATACAAGCAGTCATAAAATGCCGATGTAAGTCGATTTGCACTTTGATTTACTTGGTAAGGGAATTTGTTCGCATTTCACCAGATGCGAAACGGATTCTTTTCTTTCTTTCGTACTTAGATTACGATCTCTTTTAATCGAAAATGTTGCAGACAAATTACTTTCTACCGCGGGTAATCGTACCACTTAAAAGTATTTCCCATCCTCACCAAAAGCTCAAGCATGTGCTAATGCGCACGTAGCTAAAACACTTGTGCAATGGTACATTGGTATCACGTACGTAAAAAACGAGTATAATGACACAATAGCACGGTGTTGTACGTGTACGAAATGTGGATATAGCTTTCTAGTGATGGCGAACCCTTGATAACACAATGAAATTATGTTTTTCTAATGACTTTTGATCTGCTTTAGCAGATATCAAACCTCTATAATGTCTTTGTGAGTGTATCTGTACACTGCACTCATTAGATCACTACACACCCTCACATTCTGCATAGTAATTAATTGTAAGAAGTTATTTTTTTCGATTTTCTAATTATTATATAATTTGCATTTTGATGTGTTTGGCACCGCCGAAGGACACGAGTATAACCATTTTATCATTTATTTGCAACACCCAGACAAAATCTTCAGAGACTATGCAAAATATATGTATTCTTGTTTGGCCATCTGTCTACTTGTGTAATATAATATTTGCAAAAATAACTACATCGGCTTGAAAATTGACATTTGCAAGTTCTTACACGTGGGACGAGTGTTAAAAATAAGCCTGGAGCGTAACTTGAATTAGGAAAACTTCCGCTTTCCGGGATTTTTACTTGAAGACAGACACACTATCCATACCTCCACATGTCTTCTAAAAAATAGTAAAAAACAAACCACACCCATATATACTGTAAAGTATCGGGACTTTGTTTTGTTGTTCTATTTTTTTGATAAAGCTGATGCGTATCAAAGACTCAAGCAAATATGAGTTTTTTAAATCCTATAATTAAAAAAAGATTTATAAAAATCGTATTACCTTTAAATCTTATAACGATTCGACTGAGCGGCCGACTAAGCAAGAGTCTCGACTAGCAACTCAATGGTCGTGGGTTCAAATCTCAAGTGCGGTAGACTTTTTAATAAAACCGAAAGCCTTAGATGCTAGTGATTTAAGACTTTAGTCTTAGGATTTATTCTCTGGCTAAATTTATAATAATAATAATAATTATAATAATAATAAATCTTATAATGTTCTGCCGCTTTTTCTTTGCTAAATTATAAATTGAATCGCAAGTTTCAGTTGGCAAATCGATTAACTCTTATTTCTTTATTTCCTTAAGATTTATGATCAAAGCAATCCTTTGACTCTCACCTGTGTACATTCAGCACAAATTTCTCTAATAACAAATGTTCAGAACGCTACATGTCAAAATTTCACTTTAGAACGCAATTCGTACTGTAATGTAATGAAAATTTAAAAGTTAACTACATATGAAAATCGTTTATTATCTCTCCTAACCACAGAGCGTAACAAGGGTATATTAAGGATGATACAAGCGTATATTAAATTTATACGGATGTGTGCAACATCCAAAAGGATTTGGGATACACCCTGCTTTAATGTATCGAAGTGTTCAGAGTCACTTCAGACAGGCAATACTACCAATGGCTGTCCGTCTGTCCGCCGATCGATTTTCTTCTTCTTCTTGTGCTCAACTTACAAGTACATAAGTCTCAATGGAACTAAGCTTGTCTGTCCCTACGTCCGCATTTCATTTTTAGACTCCACCCACTGGCTGCAATTTTTCAGATATTTTGATGAAATTTCGCATGCTGACATTATTTGATGCAAGGACGAACGTTAATGAAAATTATTCGGATCTCATATAACGCTTTATTTTGCAAAGTCATCTCTAATGGCAGTATTTTGACTTACTTTTCTTGTATTAAAGATTAGAAAAATTAAAAAAGGCTGCAGTGTTTGTCCACTTCAGGCTTTCTTCAATGGACTTGACCTTTACGCCAAGTCGTATGCGTGTAAACAAAAATATCATCAAAATATCAAAAGTAGAAGCTTTTAGAAGGGATTCACGACACCTGGACAGACGTACAGGCCTGTGCAAATCCATTTGCAATAATTTTCTGAATCGTCTGGTCGCGCTAAAGATCTGCCCATTACCGCACACATACTCTCAAACTTAGTACAATTTCAACACAAGCGAGATAAGATGCGCATATGAAAGTGTAGTTCGTCGATAAGAAAAAATTCACCCTTTAATCGATTAGAACGAAAAGTATTTATCATACAAATACAGCGGAGAAGGTCAAGGCATAACTATAAGCACGAAAGCTGCACTCATTTTCTAAAACTAATAATACGTAGTAGATTTTTAATATTATAAAAGAATCAAGAAATCAAAAAATTTATATTTACCAGCACATGAATGCTTTTAGTCTACTATTAAAGATTATGAGTTGAGCATACAACGATATGCAGTCAAGCAGTGCAATGTTCCGTTATGCATTTATAATAAATGATAAGTATTTTACACAAAAAAAAAAAAAAAAAAATTCAAAGCAAATATTAAAGCTGTGAAAGGTTGAAAAAAAATAAAAATAAAAAATAAAAATACAACATTAACTAGAAAAAAAAAAAAAAAAACAAAGAACTTCCTCAATTATCATTTTATATTTTAAAGACTATTAACCTTTTCCTTACTCTAAAAACATTATAAACAATACAATAACTGAATATCAGCCGCCGCCGGACCCCTTTCTGTTGTGGTTATTGTAGCATTTTTCTATAACCACTTGATAGTTTTTTTTTTTTTTTTTTTTTTGTTGCTCTTTGGTTTTCTTTTCTTCTTCGCTTATATAACATTTTCTCTGTTTGCTCGATTAATTTTAAAGGGAAAACCAAAACGTTACATTGTGCACATGATGTTTATTTTGCTTATTTTTTTTATTTTTTTATTTTTTTTGCAGTTTTCTCCCTATAGCGAAAGTTGCTTGGCTGTCAGATTGCTTAGTGGCTGAGTTTGGTTTGGTTATCTGTCTGTAGGTCTGACTATCAGTTAGTTCTTTCACTCTTTCATTTAAACGACCCTTCACTTTATAGCAACAATTTATTTCAACCATTTCCATTCGCTCCATGAAACTAAACAGAAACAAGAAAAAAAAAAAAAGGAAAAAAAGGGGTGCAGCCCTCAAATATGTTCGTGAAGTCGTGCAGTAAATGCTTTCATGTTTTTCACATTCAATAATAACAACAACAACAATAACACAAACGGCGAACGATAGCAGCAAAGTATTTGCTATGCTATCAACATTTCACGAAGGACAAGCGGTCGGCCTTCTTTTTTAGTCTGTTCGCCTTGTATCTGTATGGCTGTCTTATTGATTTTATCTTTAATAAGATTTCGCAACAAACAAATTATTTAAAAAAAATAAGAAAAAAAAACGTAGGGGGAGGATATGTCGTTCAATTTTAAAATCACAATTAAAGAAAAAAAATAACCCAGATCTCGATTTCTTTTCCGGTCTATGCTTTTCATGAACGACGCGGAGAAAAGTGTTTATTATAAAAAAAAAGAAAAAATTTTTAATATCCTATCCCATTTTGTTTAATATGGTAATAGAAAAATAGGTAAAACACATTATAGTCGGGCGAGTGCGATCATTTCATACCCCACACAATTTCCATACTTCTAATACAGTTATCGATTCGTTTTGGTAATAATATGCCAAAAATTACGCTTTAGTTTCACGCGAAGCCATACTTTTCGCGAAAACCCGTTTGTTGGACGATTGGCAAAACATCAGATGACATGATCCACTTGTTTTACTTTTTAAAAATTTTATAATTTTTCAGTTTTCGTCTGAGACTTTCTCCCCATATAAAAGCTTCCTTTTCATGATAAGTCATACACATGTTAGAGTCTAAATAAATGGACCTATGTTATCCAAATTACCTGCGGTTACTTTTTGTGCTAAATTGTTACTATGAACCATTGGTCAACGTAAAATAATAAAACTTAAAACTTCTTCCGATTTCATGAGAAGTCTACAGCGAGTGTAGTCCAAAAAATAGTCCCATGTGATTCAAATTTGGTCCACTTAATTTTTCGACCAAATTACTAACAGAGACCGATTTGCATCATAAAACATTAACAATTAAGCTTATTGGCGTATAAGGTTTCACATTTCGAGAATCCTCATATGCGGTCATATCCAAAAAATAGATCTACGTGTTCCAAATACGATAAAGTTAATTTCTTTGTTAACTTAGTAATAAGAATCAATTTTCACCAAGAGGAATTGAAAGTTAAGCCTTCTTACTATGTAAAGGTTCCATTTTCGCGGCAACGGTTATATAAGAAGAGGTTCCAAAAGTTACCTCTTTTTCATACTAATTGGCATTGATGAAATATTATTGCTCAGAGATTTTTGTCGAGAAATTTAAAAATTTCCAACTTTTTCGCCTACTTTCCAAAATAAGGCGTTATATGGAGATTGGACGAAAAAATGAATCTAATCGAACCATTTTTAATAGCGTTCGTCTTTGGGTTAAAGCACATCAGTATAGCACATTGCGGTCTGTAGATTGAACACAAGAAAATATAAACGGACAGACAGACAGACAAGCTTAGATCGATTTCTAATCATCGGTATAATAAAAGATAGATATATCTTAATCCCTTCTGATTGTTACGTATCTCCGCACAAACTTAACATACCCGATAGAGGGTATAATTACAAAATTATTTAGAGAAATGTCTTATTTTTAGTAAATATTTCCTTTATGCGTATCCCAGTTGATTAAAATTGTGAAATGTGTTTCTTAATTCATTTATTGCAGTAGAAGCAGAAAATAAAGAAAATAGGACAAGATGTTAATAAAATTTGCGAACTTTACAAACCGTTACAAGGTTATACGTGGGATGATATCCTACGGTTTATTATGGCCAACCGGTTGTTTATTTGAACAAACTTTTGTTGAGAAGCGTACATTCCAAACATACGATTGGGACAAATGTTTAAGGTAAGTAAGTACATCTAAGGTAAGAAAATTTTTAACAAGGAAAAGTAAATAAACAAATAATAACCTTTGGAGTCATCATTATAAGCCGATCGTTTTGGATCAATGTAGAATTGATTATGAGTTATCTAGTGATGATGCGTGCTATTCGGTTTTCGATCTGTCCGATTCAATTCCACGTATCAAAAGGAGTATTCCTCAGAAGGCCCATAATTCGCTCCATTCAATGGGAATTGTCTGACTTGTGGCGTCGATGCTCGTGTGCTCGTGTGCCATCAGGAGCAGTGGGTTTAGGCCTTCATGCTGGGAATCCACATCAAACCACAACATAGTTGGATTGATCATCTATAGTTGCCATACTAAACATATATTTGTACATATCTCTTGGGCTCTGCGCGCATTGACTTAGTTAGTCGATAAGTTGCCTTCGCTATTAAGTAATTAATTAATTTACTAGACCATGTATTTATTATTCTATTGCTTCAACTATGGATTATGTAATTCTCATTAGATTTTGGCTGTAAAGGTATCAAGTATTCAAACTTTATTATATCGATTGTGAGAAAATATCAATTTAAGCTTCAAATGCATGTTTGATTATTATTCGATAGTTGGAATACTCTTTGAAATAAATAAATAAATAAATGAATATCAATATTTACTTTATTGCTCACAAAGTGAATGAGAGTCGATTCCATTTGCGGATAATCACATTTTGCATTTTCAGAGGTTAAGGGTTAATTGAGTTTTCTCGGCATAGCTCAGCCAAACATTGCATAGACAATTTTGAATGAAATCAAAACAAAAAGGAATTAAAGAAATACCCGCTCGTCTGTTGTTTATCGGATGTCCGCCCATTTCATGTGCGGTATGCGTTCATTGTGTGTACATCCGTCCTTTGCCTCTACATATTCTAGTTTATATCAAAAACAAGCAAGAAAATTATATTCGGGTGGAGTCGTATTTCGCATACGCATGACCATTAATATAGTTAGCGTTCCCTGCTTTTATTTATGATTTTAAAAAAGTGAAACAAATAATATATAACTAACATCTTTTGATTCACTAATCACGTCGTGATATCTACCACAATAATTTGAAAAATAACTTACTTAGCTTATCAAATTCTTTCCGTCTATTCCTGTCATGCGATACCCATATCAGCGGTATTGTGATAAAAAAAAAAAGTAACGCACTAGGTTGCGACATCCCCGGTATTTAATTCAGAACTAACTCACTTAGCTTACCACATTCTACTCTTCAAGTTCTTTTGTTTGATATCCATATCGAAGGTATTATTAAGAAAAAATTTATCCATAACCGCTCACGGTGTCCATCATAATTGTTTTCTGGGCAGACACAATATATCTTCTATGATGAATTTAAAAAATATTATTTTAAGCATTCTCTCTTGGTCACCTAACAACGCTTAATAAGCATAAAAGCTTAAAAAAGAATTTTTAATTACCTTATGTGGGCATGGTCACATAAATAGTAGAGTTTTCCGTAAAGTAAATGTAGAAAATTTCAGCTTTGCATCTGTCATAATCTATGAGTAAAGAGCAAAAACGTACACGTTTTTCTTCACAGAAACGAAGTTGCGTTCACCTTACGCTTTACTGCGGGCTTGTACTGAGACCAATTTTGTTCAAAACCAACCGACGTACAAAAACTGCCAATATATTTACCAAATTTAAAGATGATATCTCCACTTTTGCAAACAGCGGAGTGTTAACAACCCATATGGCACAGACGGACGGACATGGTATTATCGATTCAGGAAATTGAGACTTAGCACAATCGATCAATTTCACCTGTTAGTGATAAAAGTATTTACGGTGCTCTTCTTCGGCTATGGTCCTGTAATCTGTGGTAATTGGAAACTAAAGCAGACTTAGTAAAATCCTGACATTCTTTATGACTCAAATCTCTTGACCTTCACAAAATATTGGTGCGACAAAAAAATTTTTTTTGATTAAGACTTGTCCTAAGCTGTCTATTGTCACCATGCTGCATGTAAACAGATAATAGTTCGCGAATGTTCTCCAAAGCAAAAAAAAAAAAAAAACAAAGCTCTCTTTCCCAATTGCTTCAAGTCTTCTTCTTACTTCGAATTGATAACAATCATTGATTACAATTTCATTGCAGATACGGTTTATTCGGTTGCTTTGTTTTGGGTCCCGCCTTATATTGTTGGATACGTGTTGCGAATACAATGTGGCCGCGAGCCGATATTGGATCTGCTTTATGTAAAGCGTATACCGAACAAATAGCCTATGATCCGTTTGCTATCACCGGATTTTTATTCGTTATGACGCTGACAGAGAAAGGAAAAACATTAGAAGATGCTCAGCGGGAGGTAAGTGCACATATAACATATATCACATTTTTCTTTTCTCTTTTTATTTATTTATTTATTTTTTTTTTTTTTTTTTTTTTTTTTGTGCTTCATCTTAAGCATTACGTGCTTTAAGTGGCGTGTGTATGTGTTTTAGTATTTAAGCACTTCTCCATTAAATAAACATACTTATACGGAACATATTTACTTAAGTATTTCACTTCATTTACTTTCAAAATGTGAACGATAATATGCGCATACATGCAAAGGACGGACACTTTAAGGAACGGCATAAAAACCTACTCAGACATAAACATTGCCTGTTTACTTGAGCTTGCTGTGTTCTCATTTCAACTCTCAAGTGATGGTATATTTTTTCTTTCTTTCTTTCTTTCTTTCTTTTTTTTTTTTTTTTTTTTGAACATTTACTGCATGTTCTTTCAATGCACACACACACACACGAACACACACACATACATACATCTACTAACACGCATCTAAGTAGTACTAGGTATCTGCACAATTTTAGTGAAGTCATTGTTGTTATCGTAAGCTTTATATTATCGCACAATCGTACTCATCACAATCACCATCAATCCACAAGCACCGTC